GCCGTGGCCAGCCCCATCTCCTTCGGAGAGGAATATTGGAATATCTTCCCTCTGAGGGTGACGGAGCCCTGGCCCAGGCTGCCCAGGGATGTTGTGGAGTCTCCTTCTCTGGAGATATTCAAGACCCACCTGGACAAGGTCCTGTGCAGCCGGCTGTGGGTGACCCTGCTTCGGCAGGAGGGGTGGGCTAGATGACCCACAGAGGGCCCTGCCAACCCCTACTATTCTGTGATTCTGTGATTCCTTCAAAAATTTACTCCTTTTTTAATGTTTTACTTGGTGTTTTTGTCCTTTTGTTCTCTGGATCGTATTTCTCTGAATTTCCGCACGAGGCTCTGACCTCAGCTCACCTCACTGAGGGCACCGTGCCGGTTCCTGCCCTCCAGCCAAGCGTGAAGCTGCTCCCTGCTTGCTGCCCGACCTTGCAGAAGTTCTGCTGACTTCTTGCCCGACTGCCGTTTGATTCTGCTTCTTCCCTTCTGTCCCACCCCGCCCTAGAGTTGTGCCAATTCTTTGTTTTTCAAACAACAGCCAAAGAATTTTTAGAAGCCTTTTGTTGGAAATCTCTGGAAGCGTGAGCGCGCGCTTGGCAACGGACTCTCCTCTCTCCAGTTCTCTTTATCGATGCATTCGGAGAATTCCGATGAGTTTTGAGGTCTGCTTTTCCTCTCCAGGTGCTGCTCAGACTCTGAGCTTTTCCAGTTTCTTCTTCTTGAGCTGCAGTTTCAACGAAATCCAGAGACAAACGCAAGTTTAGGAACGTTCTTACTGCTCCTTCAAAGTACGGATACGACCTTTGCCTTCCAGGTCTTGGTGTGACCTCAGGGGTTCTTTGCCTTTTAATGGCAGTTCTGCCTGCTGTGCACTGTGTCACCTGGGCACGGGCACGCGTCAGCTGGAGAGGTGCTCAGCGTGTCACAACTGCCTGTTTCTCACCGTGCCTTTTTACTGTTGTTTTTAATGTGGTCTCAGAGTTGGGTATTGTCTTTGTATTGTGTTGGCTCTTGTTCAACTTCTTCATCAACGACCTGGATGAAGAGTTAGAGCGTACCCTCAGCAAGTTTGCTGATGACACCAAACTGGGAGGAGTGGTGGATACCCCGGCAGGCTGTACTGCCATCCAGCGAGACCTGGACAGGCTGGAGAGGTGGGCAGAGAGGAACCTGATGAGGTTCAACAAGGGCAAGGGCAGGGTCCTGCACCTGGGGAGGAACAACCCCAGGCACCAGGACAGGCTGGGGCTGAGCTGCTGGAGAGCAGCTCTGCGGAGAGGGACTGGGAGTGCTGGGGGACGACAGGGTGACCAGGAGCCAGCAGCGTGCCC